AACAGTGGAGATGGGAGTTGAGAGCGGGAGAGAAGGGAGCAGCTTATCAGGAAGGTGGAATGGAGGATGAATCCTCCCCACATGCAGCTTTCCCTTATCTGCAGGCTCAGTGGCATGTGGTTAGAGGGAGGAGAGGGGACACGTTTGGGTCTTGCCAAGCTGCCTGGGATCTTGCATTGCCCTTGGGGAGCTGGGAACCATCTGTCCATAGGCTGCAAGCACGTGAGCACCCAAGGTCCATTACCCACTGCAAGGTTTCCAACATGATCGATATGCTCATTTTCCTTTCCTACCACATACAGTTCCTTACTTTCCAATGCAAATCCAAAGAGACGGGGGATTTGTAGTGTGTGCTGAAATGGGCTTGGTCTAGGCTGGAGCTGAATGAGTTTCTCATATACTTCAGTCTCTGCGCTCTGCTCTGTGATCCAGACATGCAGCAACACCTTTCCGACTGCACAAAACCAGAACATGAGCAAAGCACCCTCAGTCTGACTAGCAAAAGGCCTGCTCTAGAGTTCCCAACCTTGTTCAGCACTTGTCACCCTACCTGCAGTACTTTTCATCCAGATCTTACCTTAATCCTGTATCGTAGCTCCTGGGCCTCACCCACCACTGACAAGGCCCCTCAATCCAGACCCACGGCTCCTTCACGTTTCACTTTCTACTTTACTTTTCCTCAGCCTCTCCACTGCTCCAACAATGCTCTTTGGCCCTGATTTGCACCATTCCCTACTGGCCTTACTCATAGAGTCCTCTGAATAATGCATGTCTCTCACACTGTTGATCAAGTTCTCTACGTTCATGTTCACCAGTGATTTTCATTATTAACAGCCAAAGTAAAATTAATTGAAATGGTGGTTAGAGGATATGAACAAATAACCCTGGGAGATCAGGACTAGGCCAACTAACCTCACTGCAATATCAACCAAAGCTTCCTATTTTAGGTTCCCTAGAATGCTTTCAGCTATTTCTTTACTAGCCTCCCTGTCAAAGCCCCGCAGGCTCCACCGTTAGGAGAATATAGTCACATCTCATTCACTGAACACTGACCTACGTAAGACAGACATGCTCATATATTATTTCCTTTGGGGGAATAGACAAATTATGGGCTAATCTGAATCACCATTCTAGTTAACAGTCTTTGGGATTTCCTTGTTCATCTTGAGGTTGAGTTAATGGAGTGCTAGGCTGAGATGACCTTTGATAGATGGGCAAAGGAACAGAAGAGACCGGATCAGGTTAGTAGAAGGGACGAGGGTTTCTTATTTCCTTGTGCCACACTTAGAATCTCTCATGAATCCAACGCAGAAATTTCCCAGGGGTTTCAGATGTTCATTAGAAGGCATCTCACTTATTGGAAGACCTCAAATATATCTTGTGCCCTCCCCACTCTGTACGCACAAGCAATCACACTGCCGTTGTCCTGCTTATTAGAGTGATGGATATTACAAAAAACTGAGCCAGATTGTAACAGGGATTAGAAGAGACTTAATGGATGATAAAAAATGGGAAACAATCAGAAATCACTCCCAGAAGCCGTTTTCTCCTCTCCCTTATCCTTCATAAGCAATCTTGGACACATATTATAAAAGCAGATACTCCCATCTGTGGTAATCTTCTATATAAGAAGAGTAGAGTTGGTTAGGAAATGGCTTTTATTCCCATGAAACATTTGAACAAAATTGAAAAAGTTTTCATTTTCATTTAAATCATCCTTAAAAGTGTTCAGATTTCTTAACTTAAAAAAATGCTGCCTAAACCAATCACCTCCATTTTTTAAACTTATTTTCTGATACCATTTTCAGTTTTTGGTTGCCTAAATCTGAAATGTTTCTTGTTGTCAGTGTTTTGGCACACCCTCTCATACCCAAAACTCATGGGAAAGGATATTTTTGAGGGATGGGACCTGCTCGCTATGGCCAAAAGGCCCTGCCAGCAAATGAGGTCACTGAGACCTGGAATTGGGAATCCCTGGACTATGTTTGGCTCTGCCAGATATTTAGACACTTGCCCTTCTTTGCACTTGACTGATAAATTCCCCAGAGACAGGCTGCCCACAGAATCTGACAGGGCTGCGGCACACAGCTTGCTCCTTAGAAAAGACCTCCTGTGGGACTGCAGTAGAGTTTAAGAAATGTGTCTTTCTTTCAGTTAATGATTTATACAGTTCAGGCCTTTCTATGACTGGAGATGCCTCTGCCTGATGACAAGGAGGTCTACTGGGCTTCGCACTCCAATCCCTCATATAAACCAGGCCCAGGAAACTCTGTCCAAAAAGATCTAAGCATTTATTTATATTCTCTAAACATACTTGTCAAGGCACAAAACACTCCAGATTCTGGAATTTAAATAATAATTAAAAATACCCCAACACGAAACCATTGATTTTAGCCCAGTGATGACTCCCCTGCCTGCTTGAGCAGGACCAGAGATGAGTGCCAAAGGCTGCAGCGCTTCCTAGTCTGAGCTCAAATAGCAGGTAGCTAGAGTTAAAAGATTTGTGCATAGGACAGGCTGGCCAGGCAATGCTGACACCCACCCAACGTTAGCGCCTCCCTTTAAGTTTCTACTTGTGAAGGCAGCTTAAATGGCTCTGCTTCTGTTTTTTGCCCCGAATAACTTTGTCTTAGATCTCTTAATTCAAAGGGCTGGGAGCCTACCCAGGTCTTTAATCAACACGCACACACAAAACAAGAATGTTATCAAAGCTGCTAAGTCAAGCCCTCAAAAGTTAAGGCAAGACTTATGGCTCCTTGTGTAACCTACATTTGACTCATCATCACTGCAGACATGTTACAGTACAGGCTCCAATTGCCTGATCCCACCGTGTTCTTCTCATAGGACCCATGCCTCATCCACTGCCCAGGGCGGGGGGTGTTCCCTTAAGTCTGGGACAGGAGTTCCATAAACTGGGTTGACCTAAATCAATTAAATCTAATACTACATCCAATCAGGTTTATCTTAAGCCAGTTTCAGCCAACTTCTGTTCTGTTACAGGTATAAACCAGTTCCAGGGGAACAAATGGTATGTGGCCATGTAAGGAAAGCTGGCATCCTAATGTATCTGCACAAAGGGGCAAAATTAAGTGCTGAGTTAACCTTGAGTCTAGTAAATTTCTGAGTACCTGACCTTCAGTGTCCTCATTCCCAATCTCCAACTCCAGTTTCCAGATCCCAGTTCCCCTGGCTCCCTGAAATATCCTGTCCCTTTCCCACGTTGTTTGACCCCTCCAGTCCCACTCACCAAGCATGCCCCAGTCTACTCCCCTCCCTACCCACCAGTCCCATGTTTGTCCTCTCTGCCTTTTAATCTACTGGCTTCATCCTCCATGCTAAGTGCCAGAGGTGATCCTTCAGCACACAGAAGAGACAGATGCCTTGTTCCTAGTCCCAGTGCCTAAAGCACCTGGGAGACTCCAGACCAGCTTTGACTTGGTGTCCCTGGGCTGGGGCACACTCAGTCACCCTGGGTCAATACTGCATGTGCATTCTGAGAGACTCAAGCGTAGAAAGAGAGATTATCTTTGGACAATTTTAGCTGCTGCAACCAAAGACATTTATATTGAGTATGTGTAAATTGTGATTTTCACTGCAACAAGGACAAATCTGAGCAGGTTCTTCATGGAAATGGCAAAAGGCACACCCCTGACATGAAGGCCATCAAGTGTCAAGTGCCTGGTGCAAAGTAGGCTGGTGACACCATTGTTCAGAAGGTCACCAATCTCTGTAAGGGAGCAAAGCAACTTTGTTTTCCCCATGCCTGATTCTCAGAAATGGCTAAACGATTCTGCTTGAAATTTATCAAGAGAATTCAGTCCGAGGCAGATACTCAGCAAGCACATTTTAGGTCAGAAGGTTAAAGCTGGGTAAAATCATAGGCACTTGCAAACAGGATCTGAAAACAGGGGCATCAGGCAACCTTCAATCATAGGCAGCACTGCCAACCTCATCTATAAGAGGCATCAGGCCACCATACTCAGGTGGTGTAAATAAATGTATTTCCAGTGAAGTGAATGGATTCACCCCTAATTTACACCAGCTGCAAAGGTGGCTCATGGTGCTTTTAAAGCCAGTGAAACATGCCCCACTGGCAGTCCCATACATAAACTGGAGCTGTATTTATCCATCACATGGACAATGATGGCAGGTTAAAATTCTACCTTCTCAGCTGCATTCAGGGGCTTCACATTGATCCTTATGGATCATCTGTGGGGCTGAAAAGACAGGTCAGCCTCCAAGGTTCATTGGATTCTCTCATCATTATCCATCCCCAGCTTCTCCTTTAACTTAACTTTTCCAATAGGTAACACACAAGGACACAAGCAGGCTCCATGTAAAACCACAGGGCATTTTTCATTCATTTCCATTTACTTTTGGTTTCCCCAACTAAACATGCAACTTGGTGGCACCAGCTCACAGGAAATCTCAGCTTCAAAATGGTTGCCAGAAGCCTTGGAACAGACTGGCTGGCCTGACAGCATTTAGGGGCAACAGGGAAGGCACCTTGAAATGTGCAGGGCCTCATGCACTGCTCATTGCTGCCAGTGGAAGAGGTACCACTGACCTTACTGGCATGGAGACCAGCCTCTAGGAGCTTGTAAAGTGGGCAGAGCAGACAATGAGGATGACTTGCCTGTAGAAAAAAATGGAGTCGTTGCTTCTGACCATTAAAAACATGGAAAACTAACTCTACCTGTAGCTAGTGTCCTTCTCCAGGGAAAACACCCCATCACTTCCCATGCCCATCTCCCTTCTGCATCTCAAAAAAGTAGCACGTGCCTTGTCATTTTGTGTATTTGAGGGCTACACCCGACCTGCAGGTCCCCCTCCTAACTTTGACTTTAGGCAGGTACAACATCCAGTTTCACCTTCTTACTGACCCCTTTGATGATGGCAGACAAGGGGTCTTACTGACCCCTTTGATGATGGGCACAAGGAGGAGAGATCTATGAAGTCTCCTCTACCCCACCCCCACCCCCACCCCACCCCTGACAAAATCCACTAGGTAAAACCCACCCCTGACATAGCACCATTGTTCCTAATGGAGTTATCTCAGAAACAGATCTGTCCCCACATGCTTTAAGGAAGAAAATACAATCAGAACTGCTGGCTGCCATGCTACAACATTATGAGTAATAATGCACCTCCGGAGCTGTGCCTCTGTCATGACCAGGGCTACGAGCATGAAGTTTACTTTCCAGCTCGTGCACTTGATCCTCCAAGGCCCTGCTGGGCCTGTCTCCATCTCTTCTTCTGCCTGGATCTGGATTCTTTGTCTCCATGGAGCTTTAAAGAACTTGTCCAGCCCACTCTTCATCTCCTCAGGTCTTGAGATTTGGGAAGGAGCCACTGAATCTCATCCCTAAAGGCACATTGGGGGCAGACAGTTCCATTATCCCCACACTCCCTTTGGCTGAATGCAGGAGAGTTGTTGTGGTTGGAATTCAGGCCCCCGGAGGTGATGGAAAGGAAGGCCGATTGGAGGGGGAGAAAAAATGATTCTCAGGGTCTCTGTATTTAGGGTGCGCTGGAAGACATCTCATCCCTTCCATGCTTTTTTAAAAGCTGAATTTGGAATGTGGGGACAACCTGGAGCTTGGTCCATGATGATATGAGGGGGAAGAGCAGAGGCTTTGGCAAGCCGGGGGTTGCGAGCATGGAGGACCTCCCTGGGCAGGATGGATCTGAGGGCTGCAGTTCTCAGGGGTATCAGGAGAGCAGCAGCAGAACTGGTTCTTGCATTATTTATGCACTATGAAGGCCAAGACATTGACATCTGGTGCCAAAATAAGGCACTGGGGCTCCATTCAGGAAAGGTGCTGGGCACTCTGACCTGACTCAGCAAAGAGTTTGAACACATCCTTAAATATAAACACGAGTTAAAACACCTTGCAGGCCAGAGCCTGGTTCCAGTCACTGCCTAGGCTCCCCCAGTAAGCCTGATTCCCCATTGCTCTACATCCGTGTCGTCACTTACACAGTGCAAAACGTGTGTGAACAGTCATGAATAAGAGTATGGGGTACCCATTCTGCACTAGTGCTGTTGAGCCTTCAAGAGAAGCAGGCCCACTGGATTTTGGGCTTCATAAGCCTGGAAGAGAAAAACTGGTGAGGCATGAAGAGTTATCTGACATCTACAGAAAAATGAGACCAACCTAGTAGCATAGCCAGGTCTATGAAGTACATGTGGGTGGAGAGGGGATGGGTTTATGGTGACCTGTTGTCTCTACGGGCAGAATATGTAGTGAGGGTTGACAGGGCTGGGATGTATTGTTCATAAGATCCTGTGTTCCCTATCGTACATCCCCATGGGAGAATCTGAAGGTATGCTGCCTGCTACGCTGTGGCACCAGGTGTTGTTTGTGCAGCTCCAGTTCCTGTCAGGCAATTTCTTGTTCGTTGTCTGAAAAAGAAATAAAAATTGGTGAAGAAATACAAAATTAACTGACCTGCCATGGGAGGCTGGGGAAGAGGAAGGAGACTATACAAAGAATTTGAGAGATCTTCCCATGAGGAGCAAAGAGCACAGCCCTCTCTAGACGCAAGTTTGTCAAAGGGCCCAGCAGCCTGGGCAACCAGTGGAGGTCATACCACATTGACTGAATATTTCCTGACAAAATGATGGGAAACTGGGTTTTTGGCTAAAAACATTAAAAACAAAATGCCAATTCTGAAATGCCACACAAGTGCCTTATGAGAGCTAAGGTAAGAGACGGTCACACTGCAGCTCTCCTCTTCCACCTGAGACTCCAGATGGACTTAATCTTATTCTCCAGGAGTTTTTCCCAGTCAACTGCTGGCAAATTTGTCAGTTCCTTGGTGGGGAACTGTGGGAAGACACTGGAAGACTATCCATTCTCAGGTGATCTTGCCCATGTACTCACTGCAATTGGGACTGGATTTGTGACCCATGTCTCCACGCTGTGCAAAATTTAAATAAGCCTATCCTTGAGGCCTGTGTGTCTGGATAGTAGTGAAGGAGCCAATGCCAACCACTACCATGTAGATTAGTGGTTGGCATGGGCTCTCTAGTGGTTCTGAAACTCTTTAAACCTCTGCAGGTTTTCATAATTTAATAGCACCCCATTTAAAAAACGAATCTACATATAGTATGAATATTATAATGTAAACATAACATTAATTAATGTGTTATTAATTAATCGTGTTACTAAATTATAATATAGACTGTAGCATACATGGAAATCTGTCACTGCCTGTTCCCTACCAGGTACCAAACAGTAGAGAAGCCTATTTTATATCCCCAAGTTCATTCCCTGCAGAGCACTCAGTCACCAGTGGTGTGGCACTACATACTTCCAGAGACACAAAACCAGAAGGAAATGAACCATTGGTCTCGATTCAGCTCTCAAACAGGCATAAATAAGAAGTAGTTCCAATGAAGCCAGTGGAGTGACACCTGGGCAAACAGGAGCAGGCTCAGAGCTAGGCTTTGCAAGTGGTCACAAGGTTTGGGGCATATTTTGAGCAGACAGAAGCAACCCAGACGGAAAGCGGTGACGTAAACCTCAGTCCCACAATGCTGGCACAGATATGCTGACAGTCATGCAATTAACCGGCCGTGACTCATGGTGTCGGTTTGAAGGCCAGGCCTTCTCTGTGCTGCATGGGCTTTCATAACCCCGTGTTGATTTTCCCCCTTGGAAGCATCAGTGAGATGAAACTCAGGCTCCCACGCTGTCCCTGGCTCTGCCTGAGCTGCTGATGGGTGACTGGTGCATTATCAGCTGCCTTCCCAAGCAGCTGGAGTGCCAGCTCCATCATAGCCCCCGGCTGGCAACTCATCTAAAGAAGCAGAGCAGCCCTGCCTACCCAGCTGTGATACCAGTCTGTCTCAGAGGAATGCCAGCCTCCTTGCTACCTGGCACCCCTCACTCTAGCCCACCTTATGTTGCATTTGCTTGATGACTCTTTGCTTGGCTGACAGACAGCTGGGAGCAGCAGGTTACAAAAACACCTTTGGCACAAGGTGGCTGCTGCCCAGGGTCCTCTACTAAAAGCCACCTGCCACCATGTGCTCCCAGCTGTGACATCAGGGCCACTGAACACAGACTGCTTGGAGCACAGGGGCATGCCTTTCTCTTCTTGACTTTGATGTTAGCAGTGCTATATCTGGATTTCATATTTATAGTGAATCTCACTGCTCTAGTCCCTTGGGCTCACAGAAGAATCCTCTAGCTACTTGCTTCTGCATGGCCTATGGGAGAGAGCAAAGGGAGGGCACCCCCAGAGGGGACATTCTCATGGAGCAGCACATTCCTGTGCGTAGCTGATGAAACCAGGACTCCTGTAAACAGTGTTTTGTCCAGGCCTGGAGTCCTGGCAGGGTCTGAGGAGGGGAAGGTTGGCCACCATCTGCCATCCTCTCTCTCACTCAGAGCCACTCTTCTGGACTATAAGACAGAGGCCCTCTACAGCCAATGCTCACCAAGGAGCTCAAAGAACTTTGCACACTGCTGAATTTAGGTCAAGACCTGTGGAAAAACTGATGTACAACCTGCTAAGGGCCTTGACCTCATTCACCCTGTGACTGAAGCAAGAAGTAAGTCAGAAGCCCTGGCTGCCAGGCATGGAGCGTAATGACAAGGTCATGCTTTCACCCCCAGGGTAACGCCAGAGGAACTGATATTCTTAATGTAGCAGAGGTTTCCCCAACTGGAAGCCTCCCCAGTCTGACAGCTGAATCCTGCGTGCCAGGATCACACCCAGGACACAGGGCACTCATGACTGCAGGTACAAATACCAGGCTTCTGGTTGTAGTGCAAAGAGGGCCTGGTTTCCCTTTGCAAGCTTCATGCTGCCCTCCTTCTCACGGGGCACCCAGCACTGGAGGGCACCAATACCTCAGTGCAGACCCCAAATTTTGGGACTAAAGCCACATATGCCTAAAGTGACTGGCAAGTAGAGTAAGAAGTGCCCCTTTCTGTGGTGCCTCAAGCCTGCTCTCCAGTTCACTAACACCAGAACTTGGAGATCGGTGCCTATATATAAGGATTCTTCCATCCATCCTCAATTAAATGGGCAACCTTGCTATCAGCCATATTCTCACTCCTCCTTTGGAGTGGCTTCTTCTTATAAGCTACCACAACAGGGAGAACGAGAAGCAGCAGCAGCAGCCAGATGGGGTAGAGTGGCTTAATGCTGTAGCCAGCATTTCCAAAGGTCCGTGCTTTAGTGGTATCACATTGATGTCCCCATTAAACAAGTAGAGAGATGGTTCAGAGTCAGTGCTAAGAAATCTCCTACCACTCCCCTTTTCCCAGAGGTTGATTCTGCCCATGAAGCATGGGCTGGACAGAGACAGAGCATGCGTGCATGTTTTCAAAGCTCCTTGCACAGGATTGAAGAAGGGGAAAAAAGAATAAAGCAGCAGGAGAATCCTACAAGAGGCCATTATTCAGGCTACATTTCTGCTGAAAAAGCAGTCAAAGAGCAAGCAAAGGGACTCCTCAAAGATAGAGGGTTAAGCAAACAATCTGCATGGGAGATGAAAAGTGAGGAGGCAATGAAGACAAGCACATGCAATCTGCTGAGGCTTGCAGGGAAAAGATAAGGCCAGAGAGAGAAGAGAAAAAAAAGCCAGGCAAGTTAGTCCTCTAGCTAAAGGTGTGAAGGGAAGTAAGAAAAGGCTTTTTATTAATCATTCAGGATGAAAAGAAGCACCAGAGAGAAAGCAGGGCCATTAATAACGAAGGAGGAGGAAAAATTAATGGTGACTCAACAATGGCTGACAGACCAAACCTCAGTTAAAACATCTGCTTTGAACAAGAAAGGAAATGTGTTTCAACCACTGAGAAGATCCCAGGAAGAAAATAAGTTGGCAAAGAGTAGGTGTGATAATATACAAAAAAAATCTAACTCTGCAACCCAGCTGAGCAGGACCCTTCATTTTAAAGGCATTGTCTAATTAATTCAGGATGAGGATTTTCAGAGCTATCAGCCAGTCAGGAACCCTGTTTCCTTTGATTTTTATTGAGAATTCAGCCCCTAGCTGCCCTGTGGAAATCTCCTCCTCAGAGCACATGGGACACGTTTGGTTTCATCACGGAGAACTTTCAAAGTAACAATCATTTGAACATATGTAGTTCTAATCTTCCCAAACGCAATGAAGAGCAGTCTTGATAATGACTATTTCAAAGGCCCAGCTGCTAGGAATAGTGAAATAATAGACGTTAATGGGAGGGAAAAAAAGTCACTGAACAGCTAAAGCGTAATGGATCCATCATCCACGATGGCCCCATGCTTGGATGAGATAAGCTCATGACTGAAGAGCAATAGGCTGAAACAGATCCTGAGCAAAAAGCAGGCCATGTGAATGGGCAGAGGAAAATGCATGGATGAATTGACAGCCATAGTGCAGTCTCGTTTGCTGGAAAATAGTCTTGGGATCTTTACTGATGCTACGCCCTCGTATCGTATCCTTGCCTAATGCTTCCTAGCACCTCTGGTTGGCTAGGCAATACCAGCCCACCATGGCAGACAGGGACCTGGCATCAGCGAGTCATGCCTTCAACACCTCTCAGCTAGACTACAGTGAGGCAGGATGTTTTGTCATAAAGCCTTTGACACATAAGAAACTCCAACCCAGAGCACTGCAGCACATCTCAGTCCCGCACATGCCTGCAAGCCCTTCAAACCTGCCCTCTACCTCTCTACAACAGCACTCTGCAAAATTTTTATTCATATTCAAGGGCTCGATTCTTATCTCTGAGGTGTTCCTTGGCTAGGGCCCAGGACACTGAAAGGATTGTCTACGGCTCTGGAATGCAAAACACGGCTGCACGCTTCACAACAGACACAGTGGAATTTCCTCTAACAAAGGCAACAACTCATCCGTGCAGGAGACAGAGTTTTCTTGAAGGCTGGACTGAGACTCTGGAATGAATTCCCCTAGGAACTGAAGACAATCACACACCTCCCCATCTTCTGTACATTTAATACACTCCTAGCAGGTGCTCAGACACTACACTGATAAGTGTGGTATATGAATATGGCAGGAAGGGAAGGGAAGCTGCACTAGATACTTCGAAAAAATACATTTTAGCCAACCTGACTTTTCTCTCTAAGAGATTACAAAATCAATGGATGATGGAAATGCAATAGAGAGAAAAATAATGTGCTTGGATTTTAGTGATGATACTACTGAACTTAGCTAAAAGTCTTACTGGAAAATTGGATTGTCTTGGGATAAAATCACTGATGTGAACTGAAAAGTGGCTGAAAGTCTATGAACAAAGAAATGGAGCTAAGCAGAAATGGATCGATGCTAGGGGCGGTGTCAAGGGGTACGGGGCGCAGACCAGGGCTAGCTCTGGTCTAACTTAACATCTTCATAGCTTAGCTGGCAGTGAAAGCCAATAGCTTGCTAATAAATTCACAGCAGGGTGACACAGAGCAGTGAGGTGATGCAAACACCATGGAGATAAAGGGACTGGGACCAGAAACACACTACAGAGTTTTGCCAGCATCACTAGGTTGGTTAAGGGTGTGAAAACATCAGCGCTCAACCGGTGTCGCTTTGACGGCCACGCACAGCTATGGTCACAGAAGAAGGCCTCTTTCAGTTTGGTTTATATTGTTGTGGAGGTGGCATAGCTAAAAAAACCCTTCTGATGGTGAAAACAGACTCTCCACTTGGAGTGGAGGAAGGGAGGAGGCTGCAGACACAGCTGTCTCTGCATAGCTACATCAGTACAGGTTCCACAGCCTTGGAAAAGCTGCTTGAAAGATCAGAAGGGCCAGAGTTCAACACCATATAGTAGAGCAGGGTGGCCAACCTGCAGTATTCACACCACCATGGGTATGGGCAACTTCTATGAGTGCAAAGGATGAGACAGGAAGCATGGGGCAGGGAGCAGAAAGCAAAGCAACAGAGCAGGCAGGGGAAGGGGATTGGAGTGGCACTTGGGGAGGGCTCAGGGCTTACCTTCTGCCACACCTGCCAGAAAGGTTGGCCTCCCACTACACTGGCACAGCACCTGGTAGCATTTTCAGGGTGTGGGACAGAATGATCCAGCTTGGGTTACAAGCAAGTGGGTAAGCAAGCATCCGGACCCAGCCACTGCCACCGCAGCACCGGGAGAGCTCCAACCACTGAAGCGCCACATTTGAGAGCTGGATTAAATGGCTGGATTTGGCCAACGGGCTGTAGGCTGCTGGCCCCTGTATTAAAGCTTTCAGTGGGAAGCTGTGCTGGTTCATCAGGTGTTCAGTTAGTTGTGTATGCTGCCAAATGGCAGCTCTCCCTCCAATGGACCCTACAGGCAAATGCCGATGGCAAAAAGAAAATGCCCCTTACCTTCTTTGTTCTCTGCACTCTTCAGAGGCTGCAAAGCTGTTGGAAAGAAGAGGAAAGATACAGAATGGTGCTTAATTCGCTAATGAGGGCTCAATATGTGACAATTAGCAGTAGACTTAGCATTAGGAAATAGACAGGACCTGACCATATCTCTGAACAATAATACAATCCAGGATCCCTCTTTCCCTCCACCCACTCAGTTTAAATCAGTAACCCTAGCAGCTGCTCCTGACTGTTGTTACAGGAGCGCTTGTTGTCTGCATATATGTAAATAGAGTTAACAGATAATATGCCAGTAGATCGCACTCATGTTTATGTAGCATGAGTTTTATACATTGCAAATGGCTCCCTGTGCAGCTGTTTCTATCAGCTCTTAACAAAAGCCAGTGTCCTGATCAGGCAGAGAAAGCCTGCTTCCTTTTACACAAACATTTTCCAGCCCCTCTTATGGAAACAGCTGCGGCAACAAGAAAACGGTGGTCGCTGCATCTTCAGCTTCCAAATTCCAACATTCACAGAATCCAAAAATTAACCACTGAAATTTACAATAGAGATTCAAAAATCAATCTTGTGTTTATTTGGAGGTGGGGCCAAACGACCAATCTGGGGAGAAGGGGTGCACGGTTTATCTTCCAGCAAAATTTAATGAAGGGGAAAAACATCTCTTTGACGATTCACAGCATTTATCAGCTTCCCACAACAACTGTGCTAGCCAGCTTCCACCACAAACCAAGCCTCACTCCTTACATCTTGCAAGCAGCAAAACCATCAAGGAGATGGGATCCCAGGCACGCTGACTCCCAATGAGAGATTAGGCACGAGCCAATCTGTACACAACAAGGCTATTGTTGTGCTCAGAGCAGATAAAGGGAATCACCAGGCATATAATTAACTCATTTGATTACAGCAGAGCGCTGCTATCGTTTTTTATTAAAAGATAACATGGCTTATCAGGGACCTGCCAGTCTGCTTGTGGGGTGGAGGGGTTCACTGACAAGCCAGCTGGGCTGACTCAAAAAGCTGCGGAACAGGATCTGGGTACCCGCATAATAATGTATGTCAGCAAATGCGTGCAACAGAGTGTGCGGGCATGTTGTGCATATGTGGCAGTGTGTACAAGGTCAGGCATCAGCATGGTATTGCATGCACACAAACCATCTGTGCAACACTTCATACCACTATACCATCTCTTTGTGTATCCATCTACCCGCGGTAGAACCGTGGGCTCCTCACACAACTGTTTATGAGGCATGTGGAGGTGTGCGACCTGATATACATGCATGACTGTGCCCATGCAGCAGCATGCACAGAAGGTGCAGTGTGCATGGCTCTATGTACCCATGTTTGGGCCTCAGTGGCTTTATGTACAATGCGCACAGTTCACTGCATATGTGAACATGCATATGCAACATGCACATGGACAAGTATAGGTAGACAAAACTGTGCACATGTGACCTGTGTGCTCTAGTACACACTCATGACTGCACATCCAAGAGGTGGCACATTGGCTTTATCTGCTGTCAGACATAATCTCAAGGCCAGGAACTGCCTTTACCCTTAGCACTCTCATGAGTTTCATGTTGTTGAGCACTGTGGGATTGACAGCCTGGGAACCGTCTGCTTGTGTGTAGAGATGGGACCTTGGCAGGGCATGCTTCCAGAGCACAGCTCCCTGCAGACTGGATAGTGGGTTACCACAGAAAGGATGGGACAGGTCAGTCTCCCTGATCACAAAGCCCCAGGGAAATTAAATCCCAACTGCCAACTGGACTTAGCATGGGATGCAGTATACCAAGAACAGCCACTAATAGCATGTGCAGCCAGGCAAACCACTCTGCGCTCCAGTTCAGCAAGTAGGGTAGTGCAGGGAGGATAAAAACAATCCATCGTCCTCTTGGGTTTCTCCTTTATCAACCCTGCCCCTGACATTAAATCCAGGCTACTCCCCCCAGCACCAGGCACCTATTCAAAGAACAGTACCTTTTTGAGACCTGACTCACCTGTCTTGGGTTCTTCTCCGTCCTCGTCCTGATCCTCCATGCCTGCAAAACAAAAGCCATGTGTGTGAGAGAGAGAACCGCACAGAGAAATCACTTGGTGAATGGAAAAGGTTTAAGAGGCTCTGCCGACAGTCCACAGTCCTAACCCACCACTGTGCTGCTATTCTGGGCCTGTCCCTCCCCACAATTCCAATGCCCTTCACTTTTGGCCCAAAGCCCCTGCTAAGCCAGACTTTTTCTGCACCTCCCGTTATGCCAGTGCCCCTGAGCCCAACCAGCAGTTCCACCACTATTCCAATTCTGTTCCATGCTCTCCCTACATGCACATGGCTCTGCTCGTGCCCCACTGTCCCAGCCTGCCCTCCCACACAAATACAGCTTTGCAGATACCAGCTATCCTCACCCCAGCCGCCAAGGGAAGAGGGTTGAAGCATTTCCCCTGAAGAGGGGTGGATGACCCACACATTTGTGTTCATCAGCCCCAGTAAGGGGGGAGGGGCATGGAGGAGCCTTGAGATACTGAATGATGGCCTTTCTACACCTGTTCACTGGATCAAATAGATACAGGCAGGGCCTTGCCTGAAGTAATGACTTATTAGCAGCACATATGGAAACAGGGGTATGTAGAGGCAGTCACTTGATGTGCTTAGTGGACCTCCCCCAGAGCAGGAGCCAAGGAAGGGGCTATGCCTGCCAGTCTGACCCACCTTTGCTAGCTGTGTTGGCCTCTGCCAGGAACACGGCATGTCTGAGAAGTTGGAGTATGCCTAGAGATAGCCGGAGCCTTTGGGAATGAGTCATAGAGGAGGAGACCAGCCCCAGGCTGCCCCCTCCATTATCTCAATGCCAGAGCCACTCCCAGGCCAAGGCTTCTGAGCTGTGAGGCATTGCAGCAAGCAGCCAATGCTTTGGTGCCACGGCTGCCTCGCTAGCAATCCCAGAGCAGAGCTGGGCCCAGTGACTGATGACTGAGATCTCCTTCCGTTAGAGGGGAGGCAGATCAGCCTGAAGTGGCATGGACACCTGGCTCTCCCCCACCAGCTTCTTTATTTATAGCAAAGCTGCCATCTGGAGCTATGCTTGGAGAATGGCTGAACGAGGCTCAGTGTTCCCAGACTGAGAGCTTAGGGAGGGGACGGGTCTAGAGGCCTCCAACAAGCTTCAGGCTCCAGAATTGGTGTTGCCCACAGAGCCTTTGCTTCACAATACAAAATGGCCAAACAAGACTGCCTCTTCCACTTCTACCCTTGCAGGTAGCATGAGTGCAAGCTGTGCCATCAGACAACCCCTTCTAATACTTCTGCCAGCATTAACACTGATAACTCTGGATACTCTGCTACTCATGGAAGTGCCCAATACCCTTTGACAGCTTGCTGAATTCTTGGCATCAGTGACTTCCAGCCACAGTGAATTCTGTTGTCTAATTGCATGCCCTGTGAAAAGGAAGTATTTCCCTGAGTACGTGATACATGTGCCCCTTTTCAATCTGGTGGAACAATGGAACACTTCCTCCCGTGTATGTTAGTTGCTATAGGTTCATATACCACCTAGCCTCTTGCAGAAACAGCTAAATTTGCTGCCCCCCTCCCCCATGGCTCTGGTTAGGCAGTAGGAAATGCCCTCTAACTACAAGGAGAGTTAAGTGCTGGAGTAGATTACCGTGGGAGCTTGTGGAACCTCTGTCACTGGAGATTTCTAAGATAAGGTAATATAAGCATCCGTCCGGGATGTTTTAGCAATACTTGATCCTGCCTTGAGGCAGGGAAGTGCACTAGATGAACTCTCAAGGTCCCTTCCCACTCTATTTTCTATGTTTCTAGTTTTATGGTGCCAAAAGTCTTGGGTTCATATTCTGAAGCAGCCTTGGCACCAGTGTGAATATTAACCCCGGTCTATGCTATGCAAGAGATCAGCCTAGAGGATCAAAACAGCCCCTCTGGCCTTAAAACTATTAATAATTTGTTACTCTTGGTTTGGAAGACATGGGAAATACACGCCCCCAATCCACCTTCTCTAGATGATTCATTACAATATGCTTCCTTCACTGGCACAGCCTTGGAGAGGTAAGACAGTGACAGAAAAGTCAGACATTTTCCTCTCCCTCCTGAAGCACCAGAATCAATGGATTCCGTCTGCAGCATCCTCCTTGCTGCCAGAAAGAGGAGGGCAAGAACTCAGTAAGCCTGGGTGGGGTTTTGCAGGGCCAGGCATCAGAAAAAGCCATCTTTTGCCTTGAGAAAATGAGCAGGCTGGACCTAAAGTCAGCAGGGGACGATGTACAGGGCATGCCAACAAAGCTGTTTTTCCAGCCGTTTTGAGTACACTGCCTTTTTAAAGGTGCAAAGATCCCTTTTCCATGCAAATGCCCCTCTGTAAATAAAGAGCTGAGAAAAGGACAAGGATGCAGAAACTACAGAGCTGGGGGGGAGAATGATTCTTCAAACAGGGCCTTTCAAAGTGCTTCCTGGGAGACATCGGCAGGACTTTAATTAATTCTTTCAAAACTGAACACATGCAGGCAGGGATAAAGGAACAAGAGAGGCAGAGCGCAGAGCATCTGTGTCTCATGCTATTTCCTTGTGTCAATACGCTTGACATTTCCATGGTGGCAAGTGCTAGAGGCATCTTCTTAAATGAGAAGCTGTGTGTGTGCATGTGTGCGTGTGAGGCGGACACAGACACAGAGAAAGCCTGCTTGTATGAGTGTGTGTATGTGTATGTGTTTGCATTTGTGTGCGACAGGGTGTGCGAGTGTATGCGCCTGTAAGAGAGAGATTAAAATCTGAGTATGCCTCTGAGAGGGAAAACAAGAGAAACAGTGTTTGCTTTTAAGTGTATAAAGAACTGAAGTGTGTGTGTGTGTGTGTGTGTGTGTGCACACGCACACATGCATGCCATCCTATGCGTGTTTGCAGCTGACTACCTGTCACTTCAGAAGTTGCCTCTCTTCCACTGGGGGAGGATGCTGCTTCAGTGAAGAAAATGTCAGGCCAGATTGGGAGGCAGGTTCTGCACGTCTGTCTCTTGGCTCACGCCACCTTGCTGCTTCCAAAATGTCTGCCACACATCCCGCACCAACAAACAAGAACAATCAACCCTCCGGGGCAGTTCAGCTCCCCAAGCAGAGGCTGGCGTAAGGGTCTCAGTAGATGCGTCTATCACCAGCATCAAAGGATAAGATGCTGCTGCCAAACTAGGATCTTACTCCCAAGGGTCTGAGAGGTCTGAGAACACCAGACAACCTCATTTAACCCAAGGGATAGGGGCACATCATAAATCTGGGAATAGGGTCTGGGGCAGATACCCAGTGCATACAGTACAACAACATAACGTAAAAACCTTGGTTCACTGAGGCATCTCAGTCAAAGGGATTAATCTTGCGATCAATTTTTGGACACATCATTTTAGTGACAGCACTGCAAGCTTACATTCTGCTCCCACTAAAATAGCACGGCTACAAAACCAGCCACGTGAATCTAGAAACCTGCCTTTCACAGTCATTTTGCTTCACCTTCTGGCAGTAATAATGCCTTGCCCCTTCCTCCACAAATCTCACACTGCTGGGATGAGTTCAGCACCGTGCCCAACAGCAACAATCCCTAACTCTTCCCTAATGTTTTTTACCAGTAAATCTCAAAACACTTCACAAAAGAAGTCACTATTACTGCCCTCTTTTACAAATGAGAAAAGCTAGTACAGGGAGATGAAGGGACTTGCCAGGGGTGAATCTGGCAGTATAACCCAAGTCCACCAAACGCAAGTCTTGTATTCTGTCTGCTAGGTCGCACCTTAGGCCAGAGCAGAACCCACCCTTTCCAAGCTAAAAAACCAGGCACAAATGTTTAAAGGCTCTCTTGCTGACTGGGTGGTTTTCCCTGGTCCCTTCTCAACAGGAAACAGGTGTGACTGGGTAAGAAGCCCAACCCGCAGCTATGCTTTCTGCCTTTATTCAGCTCTCTGCTGAATACGTGGCAGCAGATAGAAGAGCCAGGGGAGGAATTCATAGACTAGCTTGGCAGTTTTCACTGACATTTAAATGTTTTCACAGATTTTATGGACAAGCAATTTTCCCTCTAGCATTCTCCTCTTTTCCTTTCTTCCGACAGGCCGTAAGTTAACCTACAACCCAGATATCACTGGGATGAGCAGTGAACGTCATCCGCATATCAAGCCAATTCCCCTGCTCCACTCCTCTCCCATCCCATTACTGCCTTCTCCAAACACACAGCTGGACCACCTTCCCATCCATATGAAATGGCCAGTGCCTGGGTGCAGCTGAAAAAAGGATGTTAGTAAACATGCTAATAAATGTGCCGGTTAGTATACAGGAATCTGTCACTGCCCTCTCCTGGCTGGGGGCCTAAAGGAGAAAAAAGCCCAACTAACAGGACCAACAGTCAAATCAGAGTCTGGTGTTGCACCTGTGGTAGATACAGGGCGGCAATGTGTTTCATCCCCATTGTGGTGGGTGCATATGTTTGCTGGTGGCTGTGACGTTTGGAGAGCTGCAGCTCCTCAGCGTTGCGGCTTCCCGGGGACATTCTAGCCACACTCATTTCACCCAAACGTGATCCAGAATCACAGAAAATGAGGGTTGGCAGGGACCTCAGGAGGTCACATCTAGTTCAACCCCTGCTCAAAGCAGGACCATCTCCAACTAGAGCATCCCAGCCAAGGCTTTGACTAGCAACTTGTGATGCTTGTTTGGAAAAGAGAGGGGCACCCTGAGACTTCTCTACGGAGGGGCTGACCCTAAGACTTCTCTGTGCCTGCAGGTCATCTCCACTGCTACAAATGGAAAGAGATTTCTGTTGATGCCAGGAAGCCTGAAATTAAACCACTCCATATTTGAGATGAGCAAGCCACTGTGATCCATATCTCAAGCCTGAGTGGGCAGGGGAGCTAAACCAGATATGAACCCTGTTCTGACAAGATTCCTGGGTGTTTCTGTCCCTGCTATAGGCTATTTTAGGGCTATCCAACTGGTGGCCTATTGGCCACAAGCAGTCTGTGAGGGGTTAAATGGCAGATCCTGCACTCCCACCCAGCTGGCACAAAGTCTCTGGGCTCCCCCTCCCCGCTCTGGCTTCCCTTGTAGAGTGTGGCACAGCACAGCATGGGGTGCTCACGGTGAACCCAGGGCTGCACAATATGGTGCTGTGATGAGAAGGGGTGTCCACATGGGGTCATTGCTTAGAGGCTGGACAGCCCTGGCCCATGCGAGTGGCTTAGAGTGGGGTGGTAGAGGCACATGTGGGGCCAGCAGCAGTCTCTATAGCCAGGTATAATGCAGGCCAGTGTGGCAGCAGCCTCCCCATGCAGTGCTCTGCCAATGCACCTCAATCCTGAGCAGAGGTGTCAGGGTTGAGATGTACCAGGATCAGGCCCAAGGATTGGAGCAGTCAGTCATGCCAAACCTGGATTGCTTGGAAGCACTGTCAGGGGCCCCGGGGTAAAGTGCTCTCAGTCCCGCTTAGTCAGCCAGGAGATGCCCTGGGGTGGGCATTGAGCAGCACCTACCTACGCAAGAACTGTCTCTCACCACCCCTTTCCATTGCTCACAGTCTTATTAAACAGGCCTCAAAATGTGCCCCATTCAGGACGCTGCCTGCCAGCCTCCTGGCTTCCCCTACAGAGATAAGAGGCCTTTCGGAGCATTGCTGAAAACCAGGTATTAGCTATTAGTGACACATGCATTCACACAGAGCAGTGGGACCTGTACTGCCCCGTCCACTGCACTACAGACCTGGGTGCCATGGAGCAGGCAGCTCATAGCCAGGCATGGCAGAGACCAGGAGAATCCCACATTAGACCACCATCCCCCTGCTCCTTTTTAACACTTATCTTATAAATGCCCCTTGATCTAAAGCATAGAGGGACTTCTCACCCTTCAGAACGGTCTTCAATCCATTTTAACCCATGTAAAAAACTTATCCCAGGCACCGGATATATACTCATTCCCCAAGCCCTGCCCCCACCAGGGTTAGGTCCCCGGAGGCAGGTTAATCTTCTGAGGCGACAAACCAGCAGTTGTCATCCATATTTCAAGAGGTTTTCTCTGTCCAGTCAATAACTGTCTTGAATTATCAGCTTCTCTCAGGCCACAAGCCAGAAAAACATGCATTACCCTCAGCAAAGAAGTCAGAGCATCGACTGAGATCCAGGGAGACAGGCTCCCATTGCCTTGTGCAGAGAGGACAGCACCACGGGCATTATGACTGCCACCTCTCAATACCCTCCTGCCCAAAAAATTCCCAAGTGCTTTAAAAGCTCTGGAGCGAAAGGAAAGGGAACTTCCCACCACTTCCCTGAAAGGGAGTCCCCTGATTCCAGTGAATTCAGTGGGATGCAAACACATGCTTGAAGGCTTCCCTGAACAAAGATGCCTCTCTGAACTGAAGGCTGACTACCCCCACCACCACCACCTCTTGGGCTGTTTACCTGCATTCTCTTCCTCTTCCTTACAGCTCTGGCGAATCTTCTTCCGGCACACATATGCCAAAGCACCCAGCAAACCAAGGAGGCAGATAGCAAGAGCGATGGTCACCCACAGGGCCACAGCAGGGAATGTGAGGTGTTGGCCTTGAGGAAAGAGAACAGAAAACCCACGGCTGTCAGTACTATCACCAGAAGACAGGGCAGGCACCTGAAGCAGCACCAGGACCTTACGTTCTCCATCCATGGTAGGGTCACGTCTGGTGGAACAGTGACGCTAGATGCTTGCTGTCCTGAGCATCAGCTTCAAAAATGCTCAAGCTCAGCAAAATGCTTCATGGCATGCCTAACTCTGCGAGCATGACTGCAACACTGATTTCAATAGATCTGCTCTTAGGCTTTAAATTAGACACCTTCTTAAGAGCCCCACTGAGCCATGACCTGTTGGCTCAGGTGGAGCCATGTTGGAGATTTCTAGACCACATCTCTGTGAATCTCAGTGGTCCACTGACCCATGTTCACTCAGGAGCTCTCACAGTCCCTCCTGATGTAGTGATCAGCAGCTGTCCAGAAGGTTCAGATGACCCACTCCCAATCTCGATCCTCCTCTGATATCCAGAAGTCTGCTGGTGAACCTCACCAGAAAGGTCGTCACCTTTCAGCACTTCCTGCTTCTTGGGAAGCTGTTTAAACCCCAATTAAACCTTAGAATCAGACTGATTCCACTTTTGAGTGAATAGGTTTCCTGAGATAAAGATGGAGGTGCTGATGTTACGACCCAACCTTAACATGCCCTACCATAACAGAGCAACGCAAGTCTTTGCCCGGAGCATGAAGAAAGAGGCAGTCAGATCTGAGGGTTTTAGAACAAGTCAAAGTGGTCTCCTCCTCCAGCTTCAAATGGCCGGTCACCTGGATTTCGAGCTCTGTCAAGCGAGTGTAATGACTGGCTAAAACAAGAACCATGCAACACAGGTCTTGGATACACAAGTTACACAGAAAGGAGAAGGCTCCTGAATCTGTAACTGACTTGACCAACCAGCATCCCATGAATAAATCTGCTAGAAAGTGAATGAGTCCCTCTCAGATGTGTGCAGCAATAAAAAAGGATGCATAATGTATGAATTCTGACACTTAAAGAGCTGCTCAATAAAGGAGCAGTTACAACTGTGAGATTTTAAAGTTCTCTCTGTTACCTCCATGTTTTGTGCAGCTCCCTGGGATGATTTGTACAAACAGCCTAATTTGCATGTCTGCAAATAATTTGCCTCTAATCATAAAATTCAGCTTAAAAAAAAAAAAGAAGCAATTGTGTAGGTTTAAAGCTGGTGAAAAAAGGGTCAGCAGCAGAGCTCTGGTGAATGGAGCTCTCTCTGATTATCAGCAGGCCTTATCCTTCCTGTAAAAAGGAGGCATGATCCAGAGGTTAGGGCACTAGCCTAAGGTATGGTAATAGTACTTCCCCACTGTTATAAGGGTAAACGCATTAAAGACCGTGAGGTGCTCAGACATGGTGCTAATGGGACCAGGTAGGTGCTAGACAGAGACAAGAGTCACTGTCCCATCTGCTTCCTTCCACCCCTACACCCCTGACATTAGCAACCTGAACTGTTGCTAAAAATGGTTTAACTGCAAGTGCACAGTCCAAACTGAACCAGTCTCAGCTGCCTGCCCAGGGCTGGGCTCTAGTACAACTTTTGAAATGGTGCTGAATAGGATTTGGTCCTACCTGAACTTGCAGCTTAACTGTTCTTAGCACTGCCTCAAGCCACAACCAGCAGAGAGTGGGTGGACCTCCCCCAGGCAGATGAGGCCTAAACTGTCCTAACTGGAAGCAAGGTGGGAAGAGGGGGTGGAGGGTGTATATGAATTAGATAAAGTGTTTTTCCAAGCAACAGTTTCTAAGCAGAGTTCATGCTACTGGGTAACATGTTTAATTTTCTCTCTTTGGAGACTGTTAAATAATAGCTGTATTAATATATTCTAGTTATTTATGTGCACTGTCCTATGTAACCTGTGTGTTTTATTACAATTTGCTGGAGGAAACCCATCCTCTGGAATCTCTCAAATAATGAGCACCTTGGAAGACTACCCCAAGGAAGCAGGTAGTTAAGCATTGTCCTACAATAGACTAGCCCCAGCCCTGCCAATGGCCTAGTCAATGACCTTAGGTTTCACCTCTCTGTGCCTCAGTTTCTTCATACATAGAATGAGGATGATGGACCTTAACATCTTTGTAAAAGTGCTTTGTGCTGATCAGTGAAAAGTGTCCTGTAAGAACCCCGAGTGCTTAAGCCTTACAATTATGGTGATGGGCCTTGAGATTTAGATTTGAGAGAGGCATGTTTAGAAACTCCTCCTCCAAAGGGCCCAGCTGCACTTATAGCACTGGGCACTTGACAGCACCTGTATAACAGCTTCGTGCTCTCCAGCCAATTGCAGTCTGGGAAACAACCACTGGGTGCACTAATTGCTGCCTTCCACAGTGGGTCTGGATACGGCAAGGAAGGCAGGAAATCAGCAGGCTGAGTTACTCCATAAAACACTTCATTAACCTTTAAATAATTACACTAATAAATTCAAATCAGATGCTGATCTGTCACTCGTTAAGACTCCAAAGAGGAGGCTTAGGTGCTGCTTCAACTTTCCTCTCATGCTTTTACCTCAAATCTAACTCCATCAGAGGCAAGAGCAGGCAGGGTCTCTTCCCCTCAGAAGGGGTCAGATACAGTCTGGCCTGCTCCTCATCCTTACCCTAAGGATCACCCTTGCCACTCAACACCATGGTAGGGATGGGGCATATGTTCCAGCAGCAGCACTAAAGGAGCTGGGTATGTTCACATGGATTAGGGCACAGAGACCTTCAGGAGGGAGAGAAAAATCAGGTTAAATTACTTTTACTGTACAGTAATGGCATAGGTACTATAGCTATTCTGCTGCCAGCATGCTATACCCTCTAGGAGCTGTCCCCTACACGCTCTAAAGAGCCTACTACCACGACTGCTTGATAACAGCAGGATTCTTCAAGCCCAGGTAGTAACATCCTAGGCATTTTGTACCAAAGGTTCAAACCCAGCTGATGTCCTGCAATGGGGAGAGGCACTACACAAATGGAAGCTTTTGAGCTGCTCCTGAATAATAACTGTGACTCCATGTGTCTGCTTTAAATAACAGAAGACGCAGCCTGAGACGCAAGGCAAGTAAATTAATAATAAGATGCCTTTCTTCCTGCTTTTGTCTTTTCCTTTTATATCCTTGACGCCTGTAAGTGACTGTGATCAAAAGGGACTTGGATTTCCTCTCAGGAACAGGAGTGCAAGAGCATCAGTGATTACACAAGCTGGGAGAAAAATGACAAAGCCCATCAATCTTCAGGCATCGGGACACCAGCCAATCGTCAGCTGGAATCAGGGAGGAGCTTCTTTGCATGTCTTTAATCAGGTGGTCGCACACAAGAAGTGGCACTGGTCACTGCTGGAGACAAGAGGGTGGACTGCATTGGATATATCTTCTGACCACAGGAAACCCTGCTGCTGCAGAAGATCTCAATTAACCAAGCTCCCCTCCCTGACACGCGCACACACCTACCTCTTCCCAGGAAACAAAAGTGTAGCAAATGAGCCATTTGTATTTAAATATTCATTTGTCCAGCAATTACTTCTATGGTGAAATGCAACTTGGCTAGGAGTGAGGAGAAAGAGAAGTGTGTACGATGCCTGGGCTGCTAGATAAAATACTCATCCAACATGCCTATGATGCAGGGGGAGGACTGTGAGCTACGAAATGCTAGACAGTCCCAATTGACTGGTCCTGTTCTTAGCCTGCTCTGGAGTAAGAGAGTGCTGGATTCACCACAGGAACCATAACATCCCCTGAGCACATGACAAAGTGGCTGGCATACATGCCAAACACATGGAAATGACAATAGCAGGATTACCGAGGGAAGCCTCAAGTGAACTGAACATGGTCCAATCGAGATAAAGACTAATGCAGGCAGGAGTCAGCAACATTTTTGGCTGGAGTGCCAAAAACACCCCAACCTCCACCCACACCTCGACCTAGCATGACAGAGGCAGGGGGCGGAGGAGCTGCAAGGGACTATCTGGTGGATGCATGCACGCCACCAGGCAGATGGCAAGGCAGAAGCCCCAGGCCCCTTCCCGGCTGTGCACCCCAAGGTGCACGTGCAGCTGCTGCCACCCTGGAGCCGGTGCTGGGACTCCAGAGCCCAGCGCAGCTGTTCACAACCTCCTGGCTGCCTGTCACAGCTGGCCAGAGCGGAGCCCGGGCTGCTCACAGCCGGGGCTCCACAGCTGGCAGTAGCTGCCCAGAGCCCAGGGCAGCTGTGGTGTGCTGAGCAGAAAGGCCCCACATGCCAGGCTCTGGCACACATGCCGGGGGTTGCCAATCCCTGCTCTGACACACTGCCCACTGCTCTTCCTACCATTGGAAGACACTAGCTGAGCCCTTTCTCCAGGGCAATGAATTACTTTTCTCTGAAGACATGGGACTGGCTTTATCAGGAGAGAGGATCCAGGATATGAGCTGAGCATACTCTAGGAGGCAACCAGGCTTGACTAAAAGCTTCAATCGGACATTTCTGCAGAACCAAGGAGGACATTTGCTTTCCTTTATGCAGCTGATTTTGGTGTCCCCCCAGTCCGCTACCTACAACTTCCCCAACATTAAACCCATCCATTTGGAATGTTCTGCGGTATATTTTTCTCCCAGAAAACAGTTACCTGGGAAATCTGGCTCGCACTGTGTAAGCACTAGCCTCTCCCGAAGCAGCACTGGTCCTCCAGCCTCCAAGCAGCATGCATGCAGCAGTACTTAGACTTTCTGGAAAAAGCACTGTGCATCCAGCCAAAAGGTTTATGCTCCATCGGGGACCCTCCTTCACAACTGAGCAACCACTGTACCAAGGATAATTAAGCACTAATTAATGTTACCAGTAAGTGTACAAGGTTATAAAGAGCTCCAAGACATCGATAAAGCTGAGCTAGCGAGGACAACTGGAAGCCATTTATAACCAGGCTGTGAGCTAGACACCTGCATGATCGAGAAGAGCCTCATAAAGCATTTTATTGAGCAGTCAAACTTCTCTGAAAAGTTTAGCCTGGGAATTGGAATTGCCTTGGACCAAATCTGGGTTCCAATGTATGCAATGGGGCTGGCTTTCAAGGGGCCACAGTTAGGAAGATGTTTCCAGGATTCTCTTGAACAGTGCAACTGGGGTAGTTCAAACAAGCGGATACTGAATGACTATCCCCACATATCCCAGATGCCTGGAATAGGTTCCCTCCAATCTCCTCATTTTGCATCACCTCAGTGCTAGAAGAAGGTGAAGCAAGACCATGTACCTACAGCAAGCAGAAGACCATGAGTGGTGCCCTAGACATGAGCAGGAAAGCAGGAAGAGGAAGGGAGAACGCAGCCACAGGAATGTCTTATGTGGCAGTCCCAGAGCTGGCGTGCAAGGCACTTGGCTTTCCCTGGCCTTGCTTCCAGGACTGCAGTGGCCAGAAGTGCAGCCCAGTGTCTGTCCACATACTGATCTATTGCTCCAGACTGGCACACTCTAAACATAGCACCATGCCTGGCCCCAGCGTGGCTCCAGGTTCAAGTTCCCCAGCAACACAGAGTTTGGCAGGCCGTGTCTTTTGGGTGGGGGCAGTGGAAACGCAGGAGGTTTTAACACAGGACAGCAGGGCCGGGTGAATTTCAACAGGGGGATGGGAAGATGTGGACGGAGTCCAACGGTGGGAAAGGGGCCAAGTTGCACAGTGCAGATGGCATCAACAGGGCAGGAATGATGATTTTCCTGGAATGATGATTGCCTTTACAAGGCTTCAGGGGAAGACAATTTTGGATTAGGTCCTGCTCTGACAACTCAATGCAACGAGGAGCCCTGTGTGTCCCCCTATACTGTCTAACCTTCCCTGCATGGCTGGTCCCCCATTAACCACATTTGTTGGGACTCAGCTTTACGGACTGTGGCTGCTCCCCTGGAGCTCACCAGCACTGCAGTAAAGGCCTCTGCTCCATGTACCCTTGACTGCTATGGTCCCTGCCATCACCATTCGTTCTTACCCAACTGGGTGAGGTGGGTGGAGCATAGGCACAACCAACCAACTCCCTGGCACATTCTGCCCCCCTTGGTTGGGCCACAACTAGAGGTGGGCATCCCTATGACAGAACTGGACCTTTCAGGTCAAGCAGTTGAGGCTCAAGTTTTAAGACTGAAAGGTGCCAGGTTCAATCTCTGCTGGGGCAACCTACCCAAGATGCAGGAGGCCCCTATAGGAATTGAACCTACAACCTGAGCAGGATGAGCCCCACCCTAAACAGCCTCTGCTTTGGGAGAGGAGAGCTAAGGCACCTTCACCTCTGCCACAGATTTGGTAATAAAACATCATCACACCCCATGCAGGGCCCAGGATCCCCATCCCCGGAGCCTGATTCACCCCTACCAGCCAGGGCTGCCTCATCAGCAAGGCTCAGTGCCACTGTCTCTCTCTGCTCCTAATGTTGCACTGCCAGTCTCCTTGAGTGAGCCCTATTTGCGTTCCCTGACTGTGATAAATGCTGCTAAACTCTTATTTATCGGGCCATCAGAGCAAGACAGTGTCAGAGGGAAGTGGCTAAGCTGAAAGATGCTCTCACAGTGCAGAACCGCCTGTACGATAAACAGTGTTTAATAAACTGGGCCTGTTTATATTTATGATCTGTTTTCACAGCTCCCTCTCTCTCAACTCTTCTACAAACAGGGCTGTCACCAAGTCAAAGGGCCAGCCCTGAACTGTGAGGGAGTCATCAACAATCCTCTGGTGCCACTGTTAGCCTGCTGAGACCTTAATTAACAGCATATTAGCTGCAAAAGACACATATAATGAGCAGAGCGCTCGCCATAAACTACACCAAGGCTGGAGCAGCAGTTCAAAATGGCAGTGTCCTTGCTGGAAATATTGCCATAATTACAGGGATACTCATTGCTTAGGAATAACAGGACTCCATTAACAAAAATTAACATAATTATTATGGTGCTAGCTGAGCTTAAAAGTCATCTTACATTTACGTAGTCTATCCTGAAAGCATCCAAGTTGGAACAGAAAGAGAGAGAGAGAGAGAGAGAGAGAGATCCCTACAGCTACTTCTGGGGTGGAACATACCAAACCCTGAAGAGCTCACAGGTACCGAACAGTGTGTGAAAGGAAATAAAAAGAAAAATCCTGCTCTGTTAAACTTAGGTGATTTAGGCCAGTGGAATACAACTATCTCAGCTGCAGGCTAGATAGGACGCTGGGGCATTATTTAAAAAAAAAAAAAAAAGTACTGTGGTATCTTTAATGCTCTCAAGCTGTCAGGTCCTTGATTTACATTTCAGTTGCAGCTCAATTTCATTTCTCTGACAACACAGCGCCCCACAGTGCCAGGCTGGGACACTGGCTCCATGCTGCCTGTCTGAGAACAGCACCTATGGAGCCATGCACCCCACATCCAACAGCATCTGAGCATCTTATGAGGGGCCCCCATGCAAGCAGACAGCAGGGCTGCACGCTGAGCAGAGACGCACCTGGGGCAGATTTTGAACTCATGCCAACTGGTCTCCTATATGCCAACTCCAGCAATGTTCAGGGGCCATAAGGGGAGAACTCCCTCCATTTCACAGCAGTCTGACACTGCTCATCCTCTCAGACTCTAGTGCTTATTGACAGGCCAGGATGGAGCTGGGTGCAGGGATTTGCGGTCACACCTGTGTTTCGAGCTGCTCTGAGCTCCACTGGAAGTTGCCTGGCCCCTGCAGCAGGTGACACAAAGCTACCTCTGCCCCATCCTTCCAGCCCTCTCACACAGCACAGAAGCTGCCCCTCTGTGGAAGCAGGCATCCAGCTGGGGGAAGGACTGTTCATGTGCTCCTTTTCCTTTCCACACATACAGCAGCACATTAGGGACTTAGAGTGGACAGCAAGACCCTGATTTATGCAGCAAGACTTAGGCCTGGACAGCCAGGAGGAGGCTCAGGCTTGCTCAAGCAAGCTCCATGCCCCTGGCCAAGCGGATATCTGGGATTAAGGATTAGTTCTAGCCTTATTTTCCAGGGGTCCATCCACTGGTCTTTGACCTGTGGTGCCAAGCTACAGCTTGAGGAGCTGAGTTTGAGAAGGCCCCACACATGGGGCCACTGGGTTTCAGATAAGCCCATCTCTGTCCTAATGCCATGAGCTCCCGCCAGCCCCACCCCCACCAACTAACCTGTGATAGTGACGGAGGCCTGGGTCTCTTCCTGCAGCACAGGGTTCCTCACCAGGCAGGAATACGTGCTGGTGGGCTCTAGCACCACCCGCAAGACACTCTGCACGTCGAAGAGGCCTTCCTCATTGGCCACCTGGGAGGTGGTGACGTTCTCCGTGAAGTTGTTGCCTTGGCCGTCCTGCCAGAGGACAATAGCCTCCGGGTAGCCACGGAAGGTGAGGCAAGTCACTGTCACCAGGTCCCCCGGCTTCAGGTTCTTGTTGGGCTCCAGATTCAAATTGGGTTTGGAGTACGAAGCTGAAAGGGAGGAAGTGAGCTGGTATGATGCACTGGAAGTGAGTCAGCTGGTATGATCGACTGCTATCAAGGAGGTCATTCCCTCTTCCACCCCTGAGGCTTTTACCCCCATAAGCCATTGCCACACCACTGAGGCTCACACCCGCACCCCTCCTCACACTTTTTTGGAAGACAGCGGCAGAGCAAAACAAGAGCAGTCAGGGATATTTTTCCATAATGCTCTCTGCTGGGAAGCCATAGGCATGTCACTTCCTAGGAGTAAGGTGGGCCATCGAGTTGAGTGCAGGGGCAGAGGTGCAGGTCTCCACACAGCTTAACAGCCCAACAGGCAAAGTTCTGAGCGATGCAGCCTGAGTTCAGAGACTTCCCACAAAGACAGTCACCCTGAACCCTCCACATGGGGTTTGGTCCTATCTTCTAGGCCCAGTCCCCAAACCCAGTGCACATGCATGGTGCCATTTACCCCAACAGGTGGGCAGGAAT